TCATTGCATTCCTTATGCGAGAAATTGGCTCAATTTGTTCATTTAAACCTTCTTTTACAAATATGTTCAAAATATGAGCATTATATCTAACATGTAAAAACTCATTTCTCAATATGACCCATTTCCAATCATCAATACGTGCCTTCAAAAGTTTAATGGAAGCATTATTGGCAGATGCATATCCAGTCACTGTAAACAAGTTTTCTATTTCCCAATCCAACAAACATGCTTCAATACCTTTAGCTATAGCCTCACCCTTGTGATCCGGAGTTTGAAAAAAAATAAGAATCTTTTTATGTAAGTTTCATTCATCATCAATCCAATGAGCAGTCATGACCATATAAGTCAAATTTTGAAGTGATGACCATGTATCACTAGTAATACATATATGTTGATTCTTGACAAGATTTTTAAGCTTCTCTTTCTCTTCTTGATAGATCTTCAAATAACGTCTAGCCACAGTTACCCGTGAAGGTAATTCAAAATTAGGAAAAGCTTTGGCCATCAATTTTTTAAAACCTTCCTTTTCAACAACTTTAAATGGTTGTTAATCAATAATGAAAAATTGGGTGATGGCCATCCTGATATCCTCCATAATGTACACAACCTTTTCTATAGAACTTGTTCCATTTTCTTCGCCCCCTACTTTGATTGGTACAAATTTCAAGGTTGTTTGCCTTCTATCAACAAATCTAAAGGGAGATTTGAGACATTTATCATTTAAATGTGACCACAATATAGAAGTTCCATTTATTTTTGTCTCAACAGCAAAGTGTTTTACACAATAGTTACATTTTGCTCTTCGTTTACTTCCTTTAGCAATAAATTTAGCAAAGTGATCCCAAATCTGTGACATCTCTCTCCCAGTATTACCATATGTAGGATTGGAATCTATTGGGGTTGTTCTTTTTTGCTTTTTAGGAGGAGTGCAGAGCTGAGGAGTGCTTTTACCTTTCTTTTGAGGTATTGATACAATCGGAGGACTATCGATAATCATTTCTACATCAGTTCCAGCCGTAGTCATCTAAGAAAGTGAAACACAAAAAATTAAGACTTGTCATAGCAGCAGCCATTGTAAGTGACAATATTCATTTATAAATTTACATTTGCAAGAAAAAGAAAAAGGAAAACATACCTGACTATAACCAAATAGACGAGCGGATGAATGAGAAGAATGAGAAGATTAAGATTGAGCAGCTCTCTGGAAAGTGGAAATATTGGAAAGTGGAAAGTGAGAATATGACTGGTTTCTAGGGTTTTAACTTTTAGATTTATATTGGCTTGGATCATTTCACCAATTAATGGACAAATATATATATATTATAACTTACAAGTTATAAGCCCAAATCTAAATATATATCTAATTTGTACATATTCAAAATTAATAAAACTAATTTTAAAATATTTACAAAATAGATTATATAAATATTTTTATGTATAAAAAGTTAAAATTATATATGTATTATGTCGGTTTGGGTTAGATTCGGTTTGACTTTTTCTTTATTAATACCAAACCAAATCAAGAACGGTCGATTTTTCTTTTTCAACACCAAACCAATCAAACCAAACCATAAGTCGGTTTTTTTTCTCGGTTTGACTTGGTTCATCGGTTCGATTTGACTTTACGATTTGGTTTGTACACCCCTAATCTCTGGACTGAAATTGCGACCTTAAGGCAAGGTATGGATCATGTAACTACTTATTATTCATAATTGAAAGATACATGGCATGAATTAGACATCATGGCATCATTACCTCATTATGATTGTGGGGAATCACGGTCTTACCTGTAACATTTAAGATTTCAATGACTGTTGCAATTTCTTATGGGATTGAATGAAAGTTATAGTCAAATTCGAAGTAGCATTCTAGCTAGGACTCCAATTATAGTAAATGAATCATATGTAATAGTTACACAGGAGGAGAGCCAAAGGACTTTAGGTGTTGTTGATGATAAGAATGAGGAATTAACACTACTAGCAGGGAAGTCACAATCTTATAGGCCATCTTTTAAGAAGGAATTGGATACTTCCAATGGTCCTCAGAGATTTGATCTGTTTTGTGAGTATTGTGGATATAGAAATCATAAAAAGGACAATTGTTATCAATTGGTTGGTTATCCTCTTGGTTTTCAGAGTAAAATGAGGGACAATAACAACGATGGAGCATGATACTTTAGACCTAATGGAGGTATTCAAGGCGATGGATCCAACTCATTTGGAAACAATCAGAATCATACCACTGGATATAGGCCTCAGGATCGAGGTCAACACAATTCAGGTAGATATAGACCTTCTAGACCTGCTGCTAGGGGAGATTCATCAGGAATTAGGCCTCAAGCCAATACCTCTCACACAGCAGAGTCATCATCATCTAAGGGTCATTTCTTCAGTGACCAACAATATGATGAAATGCGGCAAATGCTGGGGAAGGAAGGCACACCTGAATACTCATCAAATCTAACAGGTATCACTATTTTCCTATCTACTGCATTAGAACATGAGTGGATAATTGACACTGGTGCTACAGATAACATTACTCCATTTAAGGAGCTTCTTACTTCACTTAAAAGCTTACAAGATGATTGCAAAGATCAAGTTTCAACAAGTGATAAATCCCACATCAGTAGTGAAAGAGAGACACTAGTTATGGGAGATCAAGCTATACACAATGTGTTGTATGTTCCTGAGTTTAAATTCAATTTACTCTCAGTTTCCAAATTAACTAGAGAATTATCTTGTGTTGTTACCTTTGTTCCTAATTTCTGTATTTTTCAGGCTCTCTCAAATGTCAAGGTAATGGGGATTGGTAGGGAACGAGAAGGGTTATACATACTCAAAGATTGCATACCAAGCACAGTTAATACATCAGCCAATTTCAGCTAAGGTCACAAGCAGTGCAAAAGACACTCTATGGCATTACAGGCTAAGACATCCCTCTGGTGCAGCCATGCAACATATTGAGTCACTTCCTAAGAAAATACACCCTCATGTTCACGATCAGTGTGATATTTTCCCATTAGTTAAACAACATAGACTTAAATTTCCTGCCTATTCTACCAAGGCTATAGCCTCATTTGATTTAGTTCACCTAGATGTATGAGGACCCTATAAGAAGTCTACATATGACATGAAGAATTCATTTGTTACTTTGGTAGATGATCATAGCAGGTGATCTTGGGTGTATTTATGCGCCTAATAACCAATTTATCCCATATATATAGTTAAGTTGAGAGCATTTTTAGTAGTCGGAATTAAGTTTTGAGGGTCTTCTGATGTCGCTTCTTCTAAACAATATGATTAGATGTTTCAGGGTGAAAAACAAAGAAGAACGAGCCAAAATAGGGCACCTGGTCAGAGGTCGGAAAATAGAAGACGAAGTTGCGGAAAAAAAAAGGGGCCAAGAAGCTGGAAAAATACACCACGAGGGAGTATCTCCGCATCGCAGAGCCACTACGCGTATGCAAAAATGGAATTCCACTTGACATTAACAGAGGAGTGCGCGATGGGAGCGCATCGCGGAGAGGGTTTATCAGCGTGCAACTATAGGCGAGGGAACAGGTCCGCGATAGCAGAAATCGGCCACGTGTTTTATTTTAACTATAAATAGTTTAAGTGTGTTATTTCACAAAACATTCAGTTTTATAAACACGAGAGATGAGCGATTTAGGCGATTTGGCTAACCCTTTCTAGGGCTTTTCTTCTACTTCTTCCTTTTGATAAACTCTTTCATGATTCAAAAACATTACTTGATGATCTTTTGTTCTATGAGTAGCTAAAGTCCCTTCTTCTAGGGTTGTAGCTACAATTAATGGTATTTTAGTATTTGTTTCTAGCATGAGATGGGATTTCTTGTGATTTATGCTTACATTCTTGTTTAACTATTTTAATGCATGATCAATATTAAGATACACTTGTTGTCTGCTCTTGAACTCGGAAGATGAATAGAGGGATAGACCAAAGAATGTGAGAAGTGTGTTCACTCTAGAGTAAAATTAGAGTGTTTTGTATATATGATAGTCTTATACCTATATACCGCGCTTGATTAATATGCAAGAAGATAGCTTAATTCTCCGTCATTGGTTCATGTCTATCCCCGCTCAATGATGTAGTTAGGTTGTCAATGGTGGTAGGCAATTAGAAGTTGGGAGACCATGATCGTAAAATGACCTTGCAAATCCATATTGATGTTAGTCTGTCGAATGCTAGGATAAAGTAATTCTATGTCAGAAATTGGGTTATGCTGCAACCCTAGATTACTTTCCCATATTGTGAAATTCTCTTGTTTAAAACTGTTTGATTGTAGTACTTAATTTGTGAGATTATTCAACTTAGTAATTATAATCAAGTTTCTCAACTTGTTTGCCACATAAGTAAATTTATTTTAAACTTAACAAAGTTGTTGTCTGTGATTTGAAGTCCCTTGGATTCGATAATCCGGCTCGAAAGAGTCGCTGTACTACTTGAGTGACCACGTGCACTTGCGTGTGCTTTTGGATGCAACAAGATTTTGGCGTCGCTACCGGGGACTTTAAAATCGGCAGATATATAATTTTTGAGGATCTAAATTTTTTGTACAAGTGTTGACAACTTGATCTTGGCTTTTCATTTCACAGGTTGTATTAGGTTTGCACACTGGAAGACAGCCAGAACTTGGTAGAGCCTTTAGCTGAACCGGAGAGATTTGTTCGTTATCGGAGAAGGCAAAGAAGACTCACTTGTCATGTACCTCTCGTGGCTAGTGAACCAGAAACTTCATAAGAAAGAAAGGAACAAGACCCACCGGTAGTGATGGCAGAAATGAAAGTGAGGGATGTGGCAATCCCTCAAACCACCAATGTTACCTCAAGTATTCAGAAACCTGCACCCGGTGGGATGTTTGAATTGAAGCAGAACATGGTGCAACTATTGCATACAAATGGGTAGTTCACTGGTCTATCTCATGAGGACTCACGAGTGCATATCCCAAATTTTCTTGAGATCAGTGACACATACACTCCAATGGGAGTGAACTCTGATTATATGAGGCTCACATTATTCCCTTTTTCTCTGCTGAGGGAAGCAAAAAGATGGCTGAACTCTGAGCTCGCAAATTCCATAACAACTTGGGATGATCTTACCCGAAAGTTTTTGATAAGGGTTTTTCCATCCGGTAAAACAGCCAAGCTGAGAAGCGACATATTAAGCTTCCGACAAAAAGGAGGGAAAAACTTGTACCAGGCTTGGGACAGGTTTAAGTTCCTGCTGCTAAGCTGCCCACATCACCATCAAGCTAATGAAGTGTTGGTCCACACCTTCATTGAAGGGTTGGAACCGAACACAAAAGTTTTACTTGATTCTGTTGCAGGTGGACAAGCTTTGGAGAAGACATATGCTGAGTTGTTTACATTACTTAATAGAATTTCACAGGGAAACCCCAAGTGGAATGGCGGAGGAGCTAAATCGGTCGTACAGAAGACTACTGGAGTGTTGGAAATAGATACAGTGACAGCTTTATCGGCACAGATCGCAGCAATGCAGAATATGATGACTACTTATTTCAGCAACATGTCACTAGGACAACAACAAGCCCAAGTTTATGTGGTACATCAACCACAAGCTTGGTGTGAAGTATGTGGAGGTGGAGATCACAGAGCCAAAGTATGTGGAGCAAACCCAGACTCTGTTCATTTTGTAGGTAATGCTCAAAGAAGAGGAAATCACCAGAGCTATGGAAATACCTACAACCCAAGTTAGAGGAACCACCCAAACTTTTCTTGGGGTGGCAATCAAAACCAACATCAAGGACAGAACCAATACAGACCACAGAGTAGTGGACAACAGTACCATCAGCAAAGCCATGAAAATCAGCAAAATCATGATAATCAGCAGGCTGCCAAGCAAAGTGATATGAGTGTGGAGGACATGCTAAAACAAATCATGGCAGATCAAGCTAAATTGGCAGCAGATGTTCGAAACAATCAATTGGCGACTCCGAACTTGGAGAAGCAGTTTAGGCAGTTTGCTAGTGATCAAAATTCCTGACCACAAGAGGGTTTGTCGGGAAATATCGACTCGAACCCGAAGCAGGTAAATGTTGTGAGCACTCGGAGTGGTCGTCCATTGGAGGAGTTGACGCCAAAGGAAAAAGTAGCTCAAGAAAAAGGAACACATGTAGATGAAGCAAAATCAAGTGAACAAAGGGTGAATGAGGAACCAAAAGTAAAACCACCTCCTCCCTTCCCATAGAAATTCAGGAAACAAAAGGAGGAGGAATGTTTTGGTAAGTTTATTGAATTGCTTAAACAGGTACATGTTAACTTGCCTCTGATAGATGTGTTGCAGGGCATTCCTAAGTATGCCAAATATGTGAAAGATGTGGTAGCCAACAAGAACAGATTGACTGAATATGCAACAGTAACACTCACGGAGGAGTGCATTTCTAGGATCCAGAATAGGCTCCCAATTAAGTTGAAAGATCCAAGAAGTTTTACTGTTCAGATACAGATTGGCAAATGTGTTGAGGCAAGAGGGTTGTGCGATTTGGGTGCAAGTATCAATTTAATGCCTACTTCTATGTTTCTCAAATTGGGACTAGGTAAACCCAATCCCACAACCATTATGTTGCAGTTAGCGGACCGTTCAATGTCAAGGCCAGATGGTGTTATTGAAGACATCTTAGTTCAAGTGGGAACTCTGATTTTCCCCGTGGACTTTGTCATTCTGGATTTTGAACTTGACCCAAATGTCCCATTTATTTTGGGACGCCTATTTCTAGCAATCGGAGGTGCATTAATTGATGTGGCGGCCAGTAGACTCATCATGAGGGCTCATGAAAAGGTCGAGGTATTTGTTGTATACAAGGCAATGAAGTTGCCTGCAATATATGAGGAGCTGTCTGCAATTACAGTCATTGATAAAGCTATGGCATCTAAATATGTTGAAGCCCAAGACCCTTTAGAGAAAGTGCTAATTATGCAAGACATTGAGGGAGATATTGTAGCCCAGGAGTTGGTTAACGTCCTAAATGTCCCAAATGTGAGTATGCTTCGTAAGTTCGTGGAGCCATTAAATAGAGTCCTGAGATCACCTCCGAAGCCTTCGATTGAGGAAGCACCAAAGTTGGAGTTAAAGGCTCTCCCTTCTCATATCAGGTATGCATTCTTAGGTGCTAATGAATCTTTACCTGTAATCCTTTCTTTTGCTTTGTTCGAATTGCAGGTTGAGGCGTCTCTGAAAATATTGAGGAAGAGGAAAAGGGCGATAGGATAGCAGATGGCTGACATACATGACATCAGCCCAACTTTATGCATACACAGGATATTCATGGAGAAGGGGCACAAGTCAATTGTGCAACCGCAGTGCAGGTTAAACCCAGTAATGAAAAATGTGGTGCGCAAGGAGGTGATCAAATGGTTGGATGCGGGTATTGTCTATCCAATTTCGAACAGCAAATGGGTCAGCCCAGTTCAGTGTGTGCCTAAAAAGGGAGGCAAGACGGTGATCACTAATGAAAGAAATGAGTTGATTCCAACCAGGACGGTGACATGATGGCGAATATGAATGGATTAAAGAAAATTGAATGAAGTTACCAGAAAGGATCACTACCCGGTCCCATTTATTGATCAGATGTTGGACAGGTTGGCTGGACAAGAATACTATTGTTTCCTGGATGTCTATACAGGATACAACCAAATTGTGATTGCACCAGAGGACCAGGAGAAAACTACATTAACTTGCCCGTATGGGACATATGCTTTCAAGAGAATGCCGTTTGGGCTATGCAATGCTCCAGCCATTCTCCAAAGATGCATGATGGCCATCTTCCATGATATGATTGAAGATTTTATGGAAATATTCATGGATGACTTCTCAGTATTTAGGGAGTCTTTTGACAGGTGCTTGGAGAATTTAGACAGGGTGTTGGCTAGATGCGAGGAAACTAATCTCGTCCTAAACTGGGAGAAATGTCATTTCCTAGTGAAGGAAGAGATTGTGTTGGGTCATAAGGTGTCAAAGAGAGGGTTGGAAGTTGATCGGGCAAAAGTGGAAGTAATCGAAAAGCTACCTCCCCCAATTTCTGTTAAAGGGGTGCGAAGTTTTTTGGGTCATGTTAGTTTCTACAGGAGATTCATCAAGGATTTCTCTAAGATTGCAAGGCCCATGTGTAGTCTCTTAGAGAAAGAGATGAAATTTGTATTTGATGAACAATGCATGCGAGCTTTTGAAGCTTTGAAGAAGAAGCTGATAGAAGCTCCAATCCTAACTTTCCCAAATTAGGAGCTTTCTTTTGAACTAATGTGTGACGCAAGTGATGTGGCTGTGGGAGCTGTGTTGGGGCAAAGGAAAGAGAAGGTGTTTCACTAAATATATTATGCAAGCAAGACACTGGATGCGGCCCAAACCAACTACACAGTGACTGAAAAAGAAATGCTAGCTTTGGTTTATGCTTTTGACAAGTTTAGATCTTATCTGGTAGGTACTAAGGTAACGAACTAGAGACTCAGAGAGAGATCAGAAGCAAAACTCGACAAGGAGAAGGCGGAACCCAGGTGCTACACTAAACTAGGCGTTAGTACTTGTTCAACAAGAAGGATGCAAAGCCGCGGTTAATCAGGTGGATTCTATTGCTGCAAGAGTTGGACATCGACATCAAGGACCAAAGAGGTTCTGAAAACCAGATTGCAGACCACCTGTCAAGATTGGAGAGTTCGTCATATGTGGAAGAGCAAGGTCAGATTAAGGAGAAATTCCCTGATGAACAACTATTGGCGCTAGAGGTGAACGAACTACCTAGGTATGCTGACATTGTTAATTATTTGGTTAGCGGATTGTTTCCACCGGGTGCAACCACCCATCAAAAGAAGAGGCTTATTTATGATGCTCGGTTCTACATATGGGATGAACATTATCTCTTCAAGCAAGGGCCGGACAAAAATGATGAGGAGGTGTGTTCCTGAGTCCGAAATGAGACAAGTGATGGATAGTTGCCACTCGTCTGCATACGAGGGCCATCATGGAGGTGAGTGCACTGCGCATAAGGTGCTTCAATCAGGTTTTTTCTGGCCGACATTGTTTAGAGATGTTGCAGGTTATGTGAAAGTTGTGATCAATGTCAGAGGATGGGGTCTATTTCCAGACGACATGAGATGCCCTTGCACAACATCTTGGAGGTGGAAATATTTGATGTCTGGGGGATCGACTTCATGGGGACATTCCATCCATCGAATGGAAATCAATACATACTTGTGGCTGTGGACTATGTGTCAAAATGGGTTGAGGTAGCGGCGCTGCCGACCAACGATGCTAAAGTGGTGTTGAAATTTCTAAAGAAGCACATCTTCACTCGGTTTGGAACTCCTAGAGCAATAATCAGTGATAGAGGGACACACTTTATAAATCAACTAGTGAAGAATATCTTAGCTAAATATGAAGTCAGACACAAGGTAGCTACAATATACCACCCTCAAACTAGTGGCCAGGTAGAAGTGTCAAACAGGGAAGTGAAGCAGATTCTACAGAAAACAGTGAGTGCCCAAAGGAAAGATTGCGCAATAAAGCTTGATGATGCATTATGGGCATACAAGACAGCTTATAAAACACCAATATGAACTTCTCCCTATCACTTAGTGTTTGGTAAAGCATGTCACCTTCCAGTTGAATTAGAACATCAGGCTTACTGGGCAATGAAGAAGTTGAACCTGGACCCAGAACTAGTAGGCAGAAGGAGGAATTCAGACTCCATGCTTATGAAAATGCTAAACTCTATAAGGAGAAGACCAACAGATGGCATGATAAGCATATTGTGTCTCGAATTTTTTAGCCTGGGCAAAATGTATTATTGTTTAACTCTAGATTGAGGTTATTTTAAGGTAAGTTGAAGTCAAAATGGAGCGGACCATTCGAGGTGGTGCGCATGAATGACCACGGCGCTGTAGAGTTATGGAATGAAGGAAGGCAATCCACGTTCATTGTGAATGGACAAAGGGTGAAGCATTACTTCGGACAAGAGGTGGTTCGAGAGAAAGAAAGTTTGGAGTTGAGCAATGAATGAGAGGGAGTTGAGTCGTGCCGCGACGTTAAATCAGGCGCTACTCGGGAAGCAACCTGAGACTTTGTGTTTTAGATGATATTCCAGTTGTAATTTATTTGAATAGGCTCGTTTGGTTTAATTTTAGTTATAGTTTATTTTTTTCAGTATTTTAAAAGTTGTATTTTGAGGGAAAAATAAAAATTTTGGGGCGAGAAAACAGTGAAGTTCGCGACCTTACCGCATCGTGGACTTAAATCTGCAAGAGGACACACCCCAAGCGAAATTTGAGCATCTACACCAGTGGAGTCCGCGACAAGAGCGCGTCGCGGACTTGTTCCCTCCATGTGATGGGTGCTCCAGGCAAAGTTGGAAAAAAAAGCCAAGGCATGTCCGCGACATCTCCGCGTCGCGGACCTGGTAAGTTTCCGGGTATTTTCATTTAACAGTCGGGTTTTTACCCTGCTAATTTGGTAAAACCCGACCCCCATTCTCTTTTAATCCCTAAACTCGTCCCTTAAACTCTATTTTTCTCTTCTTGACTTCATTATTCCCCTTGCTCCTTCAACCCTTACTCTTCCCACAAACCAATCCGTGTCGCGAAGGTGGACATTCTCACCAAATTCTTCAGTTTTTGTGAGTCTAAGCACGAAAGATATGTGACCTACACACTATTGTTTCTTTATTTGGATGATTTGTTGAAGTTAGGGCTAATATTCATGTGGGTGATGGGTAAGTTAGTATAGTTTGTTTAAATTGTTGTTCTTTATGGTTTTCTGCTTAGTTACTACTAGTCATGGTGGTGAAATTTATTTGAATGCATTTGGTTGACCATGTAACTCACAAATTGGGGTTAAGGAAGTCTTGAGAGGGAAATAGGTTATGAGGGGAGTAATTGGAGTAGAAGGAAATATATTGGTTCGAATTCTTGAGTAGAATCTGCGGTGTTTGGGTGTGTATGTCTGGGTTGGGATGAATTTTGTGAATCACATGCTGAAAATGACATTGGGAAGTCTGAGTACCGTGTTGTTTGTGTAATTGGGAGCGAGAGCAGGTGTGTGGTGGCCCTCCAGTGTTGAGTCTCATTAATTGATAGGAGTTTTTTCTGATTGCAAGTTACCATGTCTAGCACACAAAGGTCGGGCAAAGCAGTGGCATCTAGCAGCCGTAAGAGAGTAAGAACGGGCACCACCATTCCTCCGGCACCTGCAGTCCCAAGAGGACAAACTCAGCGCTACGGGGCCATGGCTGTCACATCGGAGGGCAAGAAGTGGTACAAATCACACACAGAAGCCAAGTACTTCTCGGATGTGATACTTGATGATATCAACTTAGAGAGGGAGTTCCCACATATTATGTGTCGCCTGCAAGAGCTGCACATGGGTTTCATCTTTCAAGATCCATCAGAATGCAATGTTAGTGTGGTGCGGGAATTCTACGCAAATTGGAAGCCTGATGCCCGTTCTCACTTTGTAATTGTGCGAGGCGTGGAGGTCCCTTTGACACCTTCAGCTATAAATCAAATATTGGGGACTGTAGATGCCCCTTCTGATGTCCTCACAGGGATCAATATCAGCCCTCACGGGTATGGTTAAAAATTATCATGAATTGTCTGATACCAGGGTTGTATTTTACCGAGGTGACGAGAGATCGAGTATGCTTGGTCTATTCTCTAATGAATGACCTAACCATCAATGTGGGAGCAGTGCTAAAATCGTCCATGCGCAAGGCTAGAGTGCATTGAAGTTGAAGGTATGCATTTAGGGGACTAATTACTAATTTGTGCAGGAGAGCGAGAGTTCCAGAGGAGAGTGTGGACTACATGGCACCTCTGTTCACCACACCCCTAGATGTCACGAAGACTAAGAGGCCGGAGAACATGCATGGCCCAACCCTCACCACAGCGGAGCGCAACCGGAGGGATGAAATGATCATGGCGCTTATGTTTGGAATGGAGATGCTGCGTCATAGAAATGGATGCCGAGCTTCAACTCAGGAGCAGTTGGATGAAGTTGCAACGAAGTACCCCCTGAATGAACAGGCTGAGGAATTACTGGGACTTGGACGTGCATTTATCGAACCCGTATGGGATGATGTCCCAACCGATGAGGATAAGAGGCGAACTATGTCAGATAGTGAATCCGATTCGAAAGAAGAGGAGGGTGACCTTTTGGCTATTGAAGGCACCGGTGGTGATGTCGACATGG